TTTAACTCTACTAGCATCGCTAGCACTGACACTAGGCAGTCTTTAATGGGCCATTTTCACAAAGAAACACGAAAGTTTGGAGAGTACATCACGAGATGCTGGGTCACAGGTACTGGGTGACCACGAATAGAGGGAAATGAGACACTGCGGGTGTGTGGGGTGATTCATTGCGCTGTGGGGAAAGGCTCGCAAATTAGCCACCATAGCCACCATCTGCTTACCACGAATCATCAAAATTGCGAATCACAAACCCGCGTATAGCAAGGGTCGACTGTACTATAAAACTGTAAAATAAGAAAAATGAAGGGCATGTGTGTGCATGTGTGTGCGTGTGTGCGCATGCGTGCGCGTGTGCGTGTGTGTGGAGGCAGCGAGCTGTGACTGGCCAGCTGCACTCTCCCTCCCCCCTATGTAACTAAGAGAGCTCAAACTCTCAATTGGCTCAGCTATGTCAATACGTACTGTAAAGCCTCGGATAACGACGGTAATGTGTCCTCCAATATTGCAGTGTAAGGTGAATCATTGTATTGTGAATCATTAATTACCATTAAAATAAAGCAATAATAATAAGATACGTTCCCTAGTTTGACCTTTTCATATCTTTTGTGTGGCTTTTTATCCTCTTATCCCTCCAAAAAGTAAAATTAATGAAAAATGTAAACTATATTCTTTAAATAATGATTTTGAGTGAACCTTATGCAATATAAAGCAATAATAATATGGTCATACTAGAGGAGATGGGATGTCAATGTTGTTGTTAAGTGTTTAAACCATGATGATGGTTCTCCATATGAAACTGAAGAAAATAAGTCCCTGGTTGTAGCTGTAGTAAATTTAATGTAAAAAAAAAGAATATGTATGTTTTAATTAATGTTATTTAATGTAAATAAATGGAACAATAGAAGTAGCTAACCACTAATAGTAAAGAAAAAAGCAAGACGGATTGAAAAAGCCATTGTATGTAAATGCGTACACTTCAAAACATAGCGACATTTCTCTACTTAAGAATATGAAAGCAACAACTTATTACTGTTCATATATGATTTAAATAATACCTATGAATGTAAAACAAAAATTCTACTCACCAATGGTGGGAAAGTCAAAGACATAAGAACAGCCAATGTTGTTATGTGAGTTTTTACCCAGATGACAAAGTCATCAGCTTCAACTCTGGCTGAAGCTGTAGCTTTCCATAAAGATGGCATAGCTGTTGCTGAACATGAAGCTGTTACTGAACCTGTAGTTATTGCTGAAGCTGCTGCTGATGCCGAATTTGATGGTGTAGCTGAACCTGAAGTTGATGGTGTAGCTGGAGTTGATGGTTTAGGCCTTCGAATAATAAAACTCGAAAGAATCTTACACAGCTGCATTCTTTTTCTCATTATACATCTTTATGTAGGGGTCGTATGCATTTTCATGTCCCTGTTATTTCTAGTGCTTCATTCTGTTAATGGATCCACTTTAGAAAATATATTCGTTGCTTCCATATAATATCCACAGACTTCTCACCTTTTTCATATCGTTTTAACACATCTAGTTTCTTGGCTAAGTTTATGCATTTTCTTTTAGCTTTTCAACCAGCACTACCATTACTTGCTCTCTTGCTCATGTTGAATAGGGACACAAAAATGCCGTAACAAAAAGCCCCCAAGCTGCGACTGTTTATACTAGTGATGCTGGCCTCACCAATCACAAGCCAATCAGCCTCCGTGTGCAAGGTGTGTTTTTTTTTTTAATATATATCAGGTGTAAATTGAATTGGGTTCTAAATTAAACATGGTTTGAAATACAAATCGTTGTTAGTAGAAGACAACAATCAAATGACAGGCGGTAAACACTTATGAGTACACGGTGTGGGTGGGTAGGTGGCATGTAGGTAACATTAACAAATAACTGTAATGATGCGCACTTGGGACACAGAATACCCTGTTTTTCTGACCTCTCTCCCGAGTTTTCCGAGTGAGTCGAACATTGCCAAACCAAATTTTGACCTTACATTAAACAAGAAAGGGTGTTACAAATTTTATGTCGCTAAACTGAAATATCATTAAGTGAATTGATGCTAAATGGGGGATACTTGTACATTACTAGTGAGAAGTGTTCACAGGTGGCAGGAAAACCTTCAGCAGAGGTCCCAGGTCTCACTGTTCCAACACTTGTCACTTTAAGTAAGAGTGTTTGGATCCCATCTCTTGTTTTGGGTTCTGGTTTCCTTGACTTTCTGTCTTTGCATATACAGTGATCCCTCGGTTAGCGAATGCCTCGGTTAACGAATTATCTTCCATAAGAATATTCAATTCGGTTAACTAACAAAATTTGGTTAACGAAATTCTTACGAATACATGTCAACATGTTTTCTCTTGCTCACCAGCTGGAAGATTAGTCCGCCAATACAGTAATCGGTTCTAGGGCTTAAATTCGTTCCCATTTGAGTAAATATCAAGAAGGTTGTGCTATTAAATATTTTTCCAAGTTTTATATTAAAATTATTAGTCATTTTAACACTTATTTAACATAATTGCAGTACAGGAAACTAGTTTTTGGTGCACCCATCAGCCACTTCACTCACCCACCAAGGCGTCAGTTTGTGTCTCTGGTCAGTGGAGGTAACATCTTGCTTGTGGCTCTCTTCAACATAAACTATTTTTACGTTTTTACAGTACAATTATTGGTCATTCTGAAATTGATTTAACATATTGATAATATATAGCGCAGTGCAGTGTTGATTTAAAGAAAATAATCTTTATTTACAGCAATTAAACTTAAAATTTTAGTGGTGAAATTGTTATTGAATCCAGCATGGGTCCAAAGAAATCTAGAAAGGCGATTTCAATCCAGGTGAAACAGGAAATCATAAAGAAACATGAAGAAGCCATTAGAACAAATGTGCTTAGTAAAGAATATGGCATGTCGGCATCAACTGTGTCGACAATTCTTGCACAGAAAGACAAGTTTAAGGAAGTGAAAGTGAGAGACAAATCTACCAGAGTGTTTAAAGGTAGATCATTAATTGCAGAAACAGAGAGGTTACTTCTCATTTGGATTAAGGAAAAACAAATGAAAGGAGATTCAATTTCGACTGAATTTATTTGTGAAAGAGCCAGGGAAATCTACGAACATTTGAAGGAAGAGCAACCTAGTTCTTCTGGCACAGAGTTTGAAGAGTTTAGGGCCAGCAAGGGCTGGTTCGAAAAATTTAAGAAAAGAAGTGATATTTTTAGTGTTATTAGGCATGGTGAGGCTGCCAGTACAGATAAAGAAGGAGCAGCAAAATTTTTAGTGGAGTTTAAGGAACTGGTGGAGGAAGAAAATTATCTTCCACAGCAAGTGTTCAATGTGGACGAAACCTGGCTGTTCTGGAAGAAAATGCCCAAAAGGACATTCATCACCAGAGATGAAGCCTCTTTACCTGGGCATAAACCCATGAAGGACCGTCTCACTCTATTGCTTGGTGCCAATGTTTCAGGGGATTTCCGACTGAAGCCTATGCTTGTCTATCACTCTGAGAACCCCAGGGTGTTCAAGCAACAAAAGGTGGTAAGAGGACAACTTGGAGCTTATTGGAAGTCCAACTGTAAGGCATGGGTGACAAGACAGCTCTTTAATGAATCGGCAGTTGAGGTGTTTTGCCCTTCTGTGAAGAGCTACCTAACCACCAATAAACTCCCTTTAAAGGCTCTTCTGCCCCTGGTCATGACCCTGAACTTGCCAGCACTTTGGAGGCTCGATTTGACTTTGTCAAAGTGCTGTTTATGCCTCCCAACACTACATCAATTATACAGCCAATGGACCAGAATGTGATCAGCAACTTCAAGAAGCTGTACATGAAGAAAATGTTCAGGAGGTGTTATCAGGCAACTAACACTGGCACAGTTCTGGAAATACATAATTCAACATCCTGGAGGCTGTAAAATTGATTGTGTCATCATGGCAGGAAGTCTCCATTAGATCCCTCAAATCTGCATGGAAAGCACTGTGGCCATCAGCAGTCCATGATTTTGAGGGATTTGAAGAAGAAGCAGAGTTGGACAAGGAGATTGTATCCATTGGTCAGTCATTGGGCCTCGAAGTGGAGGAGGATGATGTGGAAGAGCTTGTGATGTCTCGTGAGGAGGAACTTACTCTTGAAGCCTTGCAGCAACTGGATGAGATGTTAGAAGCTGACAGTGGTGAGGAGGAAAGGGAAAGTGATGACCATATGTCTTCTTCAGACTTAAAAGATGTTGTTCACCACTGGGAGATGTTCAGGAAACTGGCTTTAAGGCACCCTGATGTTGAAACAACAGAACCTATTTTGTGTAAAGTGGTCTCCTTCAAAAATCAGTTAATGAGGAGGAGGAGAAATGCCCACAAAGAAAAATATATAGTTTCTTCTCTAAAAGGCAGTGGGAGAAAGATGCTACCCCTCAGCCTTCCACTTCAAAAAGGAGAGAGGATTTTCCTGCTGGGGAATCTGTCAGCCCAGAGGTTCCTGACATTTTTATGGAAGGTGACTCGCCTTCCAAGAAGCAGTAAAATGCTTCTCCTCCACCTCCCACTTCAAATTCACATCAGCAACATCAACCAGGAGCCTTCTACATACACACCTCAAAGTAAGTGTACTTTACTGCAGTTTTTTTTTACTTTGTATGTAATTTTCGGTGAGCTGGAACCAGTTACCCAAAATCCCATTGAAACAATGGTTTCGGTTAACGAACGACCTTCTGGAACGAATTGAGTTCGTTAACCGAGGGACCACTGTACTGTAGTACAAGATCATTAGAAAAATAAAGACAACATAAACATCAATAACCTTGAAATAAATGGTAAAAAGATGTATTTTTTAGGAAGGCTCCTGAAAATCTTATTCATGTTCCCATACAACCCCCCGCCCCCTTTTTTTCACCCCATAGTATTTTCAGAATTCAAGATGGCTGCCATCACAATTTGTGATAAAAATAAAAGTTCCCAACCACAGGGCAGTCTTGACCTCTATGTTAATTGTAATTATTTTTTAACAGGCCATCACTACCTCTGTGTCTCGGAAGGTGAACATTGTGGATATCGAACGAGGGACCCCAGTACTAGCGTATGATAACTGTGCAAGTCCTATTGATGTTCGGCAGCCACTTGTCGTGCACCCATCTCTACCGTACTTGGTAGCCTGCACCACGGTCAATGCTCGAGGCATCACACTTCTTGATCTCAGGATGCCACTTCCATTTGATTTCATCTATGATGTATGCTGACTCATTTACTTTTATTTCTGTTAAATAGAATTGATAATCTTTTATAACATTTGAGTTTACTTTTGTACATAAGGATTAATAAGTTTTGAATGTAAGGCTTTTAAAATTATCATTATTAGGTCAGGAGTCGTAAGTTTACTGTACCTGTACTATATACTGTATACAGAATTGGTAGGTATCAGCAAGTACAGTACTTTATTACACCTTTAGTTCTTTCACATACAATAAATTTAGTATGCCATATTTAATTGTTTATAATGAAGAGAATGGAGGAGACTAACTTGGAGGGGAGGAGAGCTGGGGTAGGCCAAAAAATGACAGGGTTACATTGTGAGAAATGATCTCAGAGATAAGCACCTGACTGGAAAAGCTGCTTGAGATTGTGCAGCATGGAGAGCTGCCATCAGGTAATTGCTGTACAAATAACACCCACTAGCATGGAAAGTGGCCATAAAATGTTGTTGATGGTGATGATTTTGGTTTTTCACCCCTGATCAGAAGCCTTCCTAGTCATTAAACAACTATTAAATCAGTTGCGATTAAGGCTTTAACCCTGATTCAACTGGTTGAGATGGCTACCTGCAGCAGAACATTATCTATTTGGGCAATGTTTCCTACTATTACACACTACAAGGCCATCTGGCAAAATGGGAGCTTATGTCAAGGGTTATTTAGACACTTGGATCTCACAGATTACAGGTTACTCTTTTCTTCCCCTCTATAATAAGATAGGACCTCATGCTTCAGTCCCTTATTTGTGTTCTTAGAGACAGAGGTAGATCCAGGCACCAATCCTTGGAGTACGAGGAAGAGTTCTCTATAGTCTTGTGGCCAAACTAGGATATGGGTCTGATGCGTGTTTTTGCATACATACAGGGTGTACATTGTTTAATGACTGAGTTTATACACAGTTTGAGGTTGTTGAATTTAACTCTGCTGGGTGCCACTTTGTGACCCTTGGGGAAATTGAGATATTGAAGATGACATCCAATATGGCTGCCACTTAGAAAAAAACATCTATACTGTATCTCAGCTTCTAATAGACATAGAATCACAAACATTAGGTCTATACAGGTATCCCTCGAGATGTGAATGGGTTAGGTTAAAAAAATATGCATTACGTGAAATTTCATATCTCCAATAGAAAAACACGTGGGAAAAATAGGGTTCGGTTCCCCAATGACAAATACCTGTATACACCCAAAACATGAAATTGGTTCACAAACAAGAAAAACCCTCCCTAACTAATGATAAATACTGTAGAACACAACTACTGTCTTTGAAGAAAATTTGCAGCTAAGGCAATTAAGGAATTGACGCTGGCTGCTTCACACATGGCCACCTTTAAGCATCATTATAGCAACCAGCCAGGACACCTCTGCCAACCCACAACGTTTCCTCCTCTGTTCTCATACACAAAGAAATATTTATTCCCTTTATATTTATGACCTTATGATTGTTATTTCTTTACGTTTTTAGCACATTATGTATGTAGAATTGTGTGTGCATGTAACTGAGTAAAAAAAGTGAAGAAAGTTAAGTTTATCTATCTGAAACTAGGAGTTGAAAAATAATCATAACACAACTCCTCCCAGCTCATCCTGCTAACTCTCTCTGGTACCGGTGAAATATTTACTCCCATTATGTTTTTGACCTTAAGATAATTTTTTTATTTTTTAAATATTTTTGCACATTATTCATGTAGGATTGTGTGCATGTAAATGACTGAACAAAATATGAATTAATTGATGTTTATATACCCAAAATTATGAGTTGAAAAATAACCATAATATAACTTTTACCTCTGCCTGGTAGAGAGAGCAGTAGCGAGATGTGGCCGCCTCAGCTGACTCCCGGGTGGGCGCGATTTTAAATTTTGCTGGGACCCAAATTTGTGTAAGCGGAGAAAGTTTTTGCCACACTAAGTGATATCCCCGTTAGCCGGAACAATTGGTGCAGAGCACTTCCGGGTTTGAGAGATTTCTGGGTAACCAGACGACTTTCTCAAACCTGGAAAAATTCCTTATCCCCGGAACCTTCTCCTGTTACTGGGAAAAGTTTCCGAGTGTCTAGACTAAACATCTTGCACAGACGGACACTAGCCCACTTCCCCAGAACGTTTCTGGGTGCTGGGGATGTTTTCCTTGAGTCTAAACTACTGGAATCCATAAATACAGTTCTATTTAAGAATATTTTATCTAAAAGTTTGGTTAAATAAATATATTTAAAATTTTTAAATCTATATGATATGGGCGTGAATGAAGCTGTGAGTTACAGCAAAGACTGTTATTTTCTACTCCCTTGGAGTTGTGGGGGATTAGTGGGTCTTGTGTCACTGACCTGATCTGATGCAATGTCAGGTGGAGGTAGGATGGGGGATTATTAGTCTCTTATTACTGACCTGATAAAATGTCAGGTCACCTTTTCTTGGGTGGGGGGGATTAGTGGGTTTCATGACCTGAAGATGTTTTAAATAAACACAAAACCTAAAGTATTTTTAGAGAGATTGTGATAAGTGTAGGAATAAATGAGCAAAGTTGTATCCCTTCAACATTATGTTACATAACATTTTAAAATATGGAGTGAGAAAGGTGTGGGTGATTAGAGAGATGGAGTAGAAATGAGTGTTGCCAAGCTCTCCCCAACTGGTGATATTTAACTCGCTACCATGCAATCACACACACACAGATGTGTGTCATACAATAAGATCCTCACTCCTCATGCTTGATGTCTTAATTACCTTGTTGTTGTTGTTTTTTGTGTGTGTGTGTGTGTGTGTGTGTGTGTGTGTGTGTAAATAATAATAATAATAAACGGTTTATTAATAGAGTTGCAGCCGGTGGCTGAAAATATACAAACTTACATTTGATTTAGACATAATGATATGCGTTGAATACATTTACAGGGCTGTACAGTACATAAATCAGGAGTTGGTTATTATTTTAACAATAGATGGGCTGGTGCTATTCTTATATATATCGGTGCGGGCTCTTATGGGCTGAATTTTGTTGTAGTGGCGGACTGCGCGAGGTGGGTGGGGGACTGCCGGTGGCAGGAGGTGGCGATAACGAGGATGGTGCAGTAGTCCACTGCCAAACCTTGCTAGTGCTTGGTGGTGGAGGTCACTGAGGGATGGCATTTCCAAGGTGGAGAGAGCGTTGATGTAGCCGGAGTAGTCTGCGCCGAGCATGATTCTGCAGGCCCTTTTCTGTACCTTTTCTAGCCGACGTTGTTGGGTAGAGTTGAGAGAAGACGACCAGGCTGGTGACGCATACGTTAGTCTGGGGAGAACAAAGGTAGGTGTGTATGTGTGTGCCTGCCATTTACATGTATTCTTATGGAAAAATTATGTCTAATTTACGTGTTTTTTTAATTAAGCTGTGGTTTTCAAGAACATAACCCCCGCTTAAAATGAGAGGTACTGGGCATGCACTGGCTCCTGAATGTATCTGAACCTGCTCCAGTGTTGGTCAAGTCTGGTCTTGAAAGAGCTCTCACTCGGTACCATCACAACACACTTTGGCAGGTTGTTCCATGAGTTCTCAACTCTCATTCCGAAAAAGTTTGTCCTCACAGTTTTCTGGACTTGAAGCTTCTTCAACCTTGAGCTGTGACCCCTTGTGGGGCGAGCTGTAGTTATTTACGCAAACACCACTGTACAATATTGTTCTGTAAACATATTAATGTATACTACTGTATATATTGTACTCAACAGTAGATCCTGTCATCTTTAGCCTAGAGTAGGCAGACACTTCACTTAATTGACTGTAATACATAACTAATCATGTCTTAACACTTGTGATGCAGGTTTGGTGAGAGGTTATTGGGTCACGTTACTAACCTGACCTGATGGAATGTCAGGTCATCCATTGTTGGGTTGGGGATTAGTGGGTCTTATGACCTGAAGATATCTTGAATGACATTTTTTACCTATGAGGTGTATACATAGTACTATACTGTATTGTATATAGAGGGTACAGGTATTAATAAGCACATTATTACAGTAAAGTATCTTTACTAATTGATGAAAAACAAATAAACAATATTGTATCATGAATGAGTCAGTACAGTAGACAAACAGTGAGGCGATCCTTTGGTAGAGGCACGGTCACATTTACCCCCAATGGACCCTCTCTACCTCACAGCTTTTGTTATAATCTATATTTGTGTTAGAGAGATGAATTTGATACCATAATGATCCTCAATGAGACATTTCCAATATGATATCCTTAAATGACAAGCTGAATAAGAAGGTAAAAATAGATATTTTACTGTACAGTATTACCCCGCTTTACGCGGTTTCACTTTACGCGATTTCTCATATACGCGGTGCCTCGCCAGAACCGAACTTTCACTTTCCGGGGTTCATCTACCCATATACGCGTGAAGTATAATTTTTTTTTTTTATTTAGCTCATAAAATTCATACAAATTACCCGGCCAGAATATAATTTACATTGCTGGAATTCTTACAATTTGATGATCATTTTGAATATAAACATCATAGATTTTGCATTAGACATACAAATTTTAGATCTAATGTTTACTCTGAATAAATATGTTATCTTTTGTGCAAAATATATGACATTTATATTCAAAATATTCCTGATCTTACAAGGAATCCAGCAATGTCACTTATATAATCCTAACTTTAGTCTGAGGTATTATTTATTACTAAAAAGGTAAATATTCTGGTTTTCCCACACATTTATCTGGTAGGGAGGGACCGACCGACCATCTGGCATGGTGTGAAGAATATTTTTTTTTTTATTAACTGAAGATATTTGTTTTAGCTCATAAAATTCATACAAATTACCCGGCCAGAATATAATTTACATTGCTGGAATTCTTACAACTTGATGATCATTTTGAATATAAACATCATAGATTTTGCATTAGACATACAAATTTTAGATCTAATGTTTACTCTGAGTAAATATGTTATCTTTTGTGCAAAATATATGACATTTATATTCAAAATGTTCCTGGTCT